TTGATGTCGGGGAAAGAAACCTGTCTTAATTAGGAGTTGAACTGCAACCAAACATAGCTATCAGGAATATTTAAAGTGTGAAAATGTTTGCCTACTTGTTTTCAAAGCCCCCTCTGGCTGCCTGTCTCAATTAATTGTGTTTGTCTCAGAGACATTGTAAGATAACAAAATTAACTGGAAACCCAAGTAGAGATATCGTTCCATTCACTGTGTAATCCCTGGCTAGGATCACCCATGAGATTGGTCCAGGAAGTTTCCCCCTCACATTCAAATCTGTTTACCCTCAATGACATCTATCTATCTATCTATCTATCGATCGATCGATCGATCGATCGATCGATCTAAAAGAAAGTCCCCTCACCATAAAATCAACGCCCAGGCCAAACCCATGAACCTAAGAAACACGAAATCCAGGGAGAGCGCTCCTATCATGATGTAGATGCTCACTGATTTTTAGAAATCTGACCCCTATGGGGGTCAAAAGGAGTAAAATGTGCTCCCCCCATTGCTTCCTATGTGGCTACAAGGCTGCTGCCTGCTTGCACCCCCCCACTCTCTGATTGGTCAGCTGCAGAGCTCAGTGTTCTGGGGTTAAAAAAAACAGTTACAGAGACTGCAGAGAGGTAATGACAGCTGAGCAAATCAGGAATGGCCGACCATCTGTGAGGTGCAGCAAAGCTGCTGGCCCAGTCTCCTCATAGCTTCAAACACGCTCCTACACCTGACAGGCAGTTGTCTGGGTGCAGCCATCAGGGAGCCTGCCCTAGCAGTAACACCTTAGCGATCCTGCCAGCCCAGCCTCCACAATGGCTTGCAATACGCCGCTCCCTCCCCCTTCTACACTGGACAAACAGCTGCCTGTCAGTTATAGGAGAGGGGTGGGAGGCTTGCTCAGCAGGATTTCCTTAGCACTGCTGCTGGCCCAGCCTCCCTGTCTTTAAACACAATCCTCCCCACCCTTACACCAGACAGGCGGATGTTTATCAGGTGTAGGAGCAGGGCCAGGGTACTTTAATCCATCAGGGAGGCCGCCCCAGTAGGATCACCTGAGTGATGCTGCTGGCCCAGCTTAGCCACACTCTCACCCGCTATGGAAATATACCCCAAATTTGTAGAAAAGTAGTTTCCTGTATTAGGTTATTTCACTTCTCACAATGTGGGTTCTAGAAAATTGGTTCATATGAATTTGCTCAATATCAGATTGTTCGGATGTTGTTTGGAATAGGTAGTTATGTCTCTGTGAGGTAGGGAGGGCTGAGAGAGCTCTGAGAGAACTGCTCTGAGAGAACTGTGACTGACCCAAGATCACCCAGCTGGCTGCATGTAGAGGAGTGGGGAATCAAACCCAGTTTTCCAGACTAGAGTCTAAAATCTACTGAAATAAATAATACATAAATATGATGTAGTTGGTTAGAGTGTTAGACTAGGATCTCAGAGACCCAGGTTTGAATTCTGATTCTGTCATGGAAGCTTACTGGGTGACCTTGGGCAAGTCATACACTCTTCAGTCTAACCTATCTCACAGGGTTGTTGTGAGGATAAAATGGAGGAGAGGAGAAGGATGTAAGCCTGTTTGGGTCCCCAATGAGAAGGCAAGTAAGGCAAGGTGTAAATGAAGTAAATAAACACATAAATAAACTGATCTTTTGGAACTTCAGCATTATTTTAGCTTAAATATTTATTTATTCATTTAGAAACTCTTGATTAAATTTTTTCGGAAGAAAGTAAACACAGGCTTACCTCGGCTGGTTCACTCACTTCTGCTCCCCCTTGTATTGTATGAGCCAGAATTCTAAGCAGATACGGTTCTGCTTCTTCAGGGATATCATCATTAATTATATTTAGAGAAAGTGGTGCTAACATCTGCCCTTGATCAAAATGTAATATTCCTGATTCTGGAGTGATATCTGTAGTCACAGGTGAAGGATCACTGCTGTTGCGGGTTATAATCCAGGCTACTGAAATATTTCCATGTGTTCCACCGTTCCTTACAATAGTAATACCTTCATACCTAGAGGTTGAAAACAAAATTTAACACAGTTCTCTTGTCTTAAACACTAGCTTCTTGACAAGATGGGGCATCCTTTCCTGTTCTGTATAATTGCCTCAGTTTGTAATTTTCTTGTGCTGGCATTTTGCCCTCTTCATGGATTCATGCCAGTTTAAAATGTTACCTTGTTTAGGGCATTTAATCCAAAATATGCAACTTTTTTGCTTCTAGAAGAAAAAAAAAAAACAGATATCCACGATATCCCTGTCTGTGTTAAATACGCATACTTGTGTGCATATGTACACATATAATACATGCACTCCTAGATGTTCCAATAGCCAGGCCACTGATCCCACTGGCAGAACTAATTCAGAGAAATCATTACAAATACAAATGAAAAGTTCTTCCACTGACTTTTCTGATTTAACTTTATAGCACGGTACCCTTAGATGTTCTTCCAGCCACCTGGGAGACATTTATCCATGAGCCGTTTCCATACAAGTGAGTGTTAAAATCCCAATGCATGTGGACAAGGACAGATTGTGTGGGCTTTTCCCAATGGAACCGGCACATCTCCCGGGGGGGGGGGGGATTTTGTTGAACTGTGATCAGCAGCTGCCCACATAATTAGGTTATTTAAGGACTTTCGGAGTCATGAAGGAGCTGCTCATGGATAAGTAGCTTACACAGCAGGAAGAACACCTAAAAGGCACCTATATGAAGCAGAACTTCAGGAATATTAGTTCATAATGAACTTTCTGCTAACGGCTTTAAATACAAAACTGTGTTGATTTAATTATGTTCTCAGCTCCTGAGAAATTCATGAAAGCAATGCAAATCATTTCTCATTCACAAAGAAACCATTTGGACAGGTCTACAAATATAACTTCTGCTACAATCTACAGTATACACTCCTAACTATGGATAGAAACACATTCCAGCCATACCAGCCCAAATCCAGAGAAAATAATTGCACTTAAATTACACTGAAATCAGTGGAACAAAGTAGTTATATAACAAATCCTGTTAATTTAATTGTGGCTTCAGTGAAAATAACATGCTCTAGACTGAGGCCATTGCATGTAATTTGCACTTGTAATTACAGAAGTAATTAAACAAAATTCTCCATTTCACTATATGTTAGTTTCAATAATCCTTTATGAATGAAACCCCACTGAGAATTCTTTACATAGGGCTTCCATGAGACTATAAGAACTATAACCCCAGCAGATACTTACATAGTCCTGATCCTGACTCAAAGTGTCTTGGAGGAGGTGTTAATAACAAAGCAAAATACTTCAAGGTTAAATTCCAAAGAATATCACACACAGAAAAGTACCTACAAGGAAATATGAACTTCCCCACACAAGTCTAGCATTTGTTGTCCTAAATTAGATTTATGAGACAACTTGTGGTAATTTACTTATTCATAGAAGGAAGAGGTGTAGTACCTTAACATTTGATCTTCATCAATAATAACTGTCCGGGTAAACAAAATACTGTTGATGGATAGTACTCCATAAGGTTTATCATTGGGTTTAATGGTTACTTGAACAACAGAAGGATTTGTTAAAACAGCATCTCCCTGCAAAGTGTCCTTAAGCAGCACAATATGAAATGTCTCAGCAATTTCTGGTATGGCATCATCAAGGATTTTGAATTTTATAGATGTTTCATGTATTAGAGGAGGAAAAACAACAGTTGTATTTGGCTGTAGATCTAGAAAGTCTAAATTAATCTGTGCATGTGTTGTTGAATTTCCAGTTACAATGATGTAGCAGATAGAGACCTCATATTCATCAGGCCCAATTATGTTTCCACCATCTTCTTTACCCCGAACAAGTGGAATTGTTATTATATCATCCTCTTCATGTACCATATAAACACCTTGGGTAAATCGCACAGGGCTATCATTTTTCTTAATAAAAATTTCAACAGATTTTTTTGATATGTTGATTTCTGCTCCTCCTTCTACACTTTTCAGATGAATAATAAATCTCTCATCATTTTCTGGTATCTAGAAAAGTAATAAGAATAACTCATCAAAAGTATACAGGGGCAATTTGGTAGGAAAAAACAGGGCTTCTCAAATTACTTTCCCCAAAATTTTTTCCAAAAGAAGCTATGGAGAAAAATCCCTCCAATTAAATTTCTATCTTCTGGAAAGAGTAATATGCTTTTTAAGACTCAAAATGTGCAGCATGAACATTTTTATGCAGAACAGTAGACATGTAAAACATTTTCAGTTATATTGTTTAAATGTGAATAATTCTGGCAACAATTATGTCATAATATGTTTGATGGTAATACGATACTAAAGAGTTCACTGTTTTCAAGATTATAAAGCTTGGGTTGATATCCAAACATGTCTTTGTAAAATCTAATGCTTAAAACAGCACTTACATCTTTGAACAGCAATCAAAAAACCTGATACTAGCTTTTGGTTATGGCTCACAGATCATTTTTATACAGGATTTAATCAGAATTGCACTCTAATGCCCCCAAATGCTCACTGTATCACAACAACCTTTAAGAATTTTCTAAAAATAAGACACATCTTGTCTGCCAACCTTCCCTCGTGACGGAATTCTATAGTGTGGGCAACACAATCAGAATACTTCATTTATTGTCCAGCATATTAATACATCATTTATATTTCTTCTTCAACACTATATTTATAGACTCTTAATAGAACTCAGTTCTCACCCCAAAGCAAATTGCTTTGAAAAACTCATGCACCTGTTCCCTGACTTTGAAATTCACAAACACCATTCACGTCTGAGAGAGAACTCAGAACAACTCAATACTTCAGAGACTGCCTGGTGGTAAATATTCAGTTAGTGTGTATAACATCTTTTCTAAGCAAATCTATTGTCTCAAACTTCCAAGCAAGAGTCCAAGTTCCTTACTCCCTACCTTTTCCTTCTCGTTCATATTCATTTGCTAATTGGCCGCCCTCAAATGCTTTTCTACAGATGGTATTCAGGAGTGGGCATTCAAGCCGTCTTTGAAGCTAAGGCCAGCTTTATTCCTTATTTAGTTTGTGGCACTTGTACTTTCATAATAGGTTTTGACTTGTACTCCTCAACAAGTTTTAAGCCCATACAAGATCTAAGTCTCACAAATCTTCATCTTGGTATTATACATTTTATCCAAGTAATTTGCTATGCAAAGTTTATAATTTGCATCAATAATTTATGTAATGATATGAATTCACATGGATGGTGATTCTTTTACTACTGAAATAATGAGACACTTTAAGAATCAAAATTAAATAAAGAGGTCTGAGTTCATAGTGATATCTACTTTAAATATATAGTCAATAAAGGTTCGGCAGTTCTTGAATTAAAACTGAACTGTTCCATACAAATGCAAAAAAACTGGCATGCTAATTGTACTGTACTGTACTGCTTGGCAGGCAATACTTTGACCCGATGACAGTAGCATGTCTTGAAGTCTATGGGGCCCTGCTCCCCAACAGTGACTCTAAGGGATTACAACAAGCAATAAAGAGTGCAGTATATGGAACAAAGAAACAAAGGAGAATGGGAAAAATCCTGGCTGATGACAAGGAGTAGGACCATGAATCAAGAGGTATGTATATGATGTAGAGTTAAGCAAAGAGACCTGGCAAGTAGCCCACTGACTGCAAATCAGTTCATACATTATTTCTCCCAACTTCTCTTGTACATTTAAGTGCTCACATGAGTAATCTATTAAAGAGGAGACCACAGAAGTTTACGAATCATACTCTGTGGACAGAGAGTCGATCTGTTTATCTGTTTCAGAGTACAATGAAGAGACTCTAAGTATCTTCCTATAACATTAAACTATACATGTAAGTGGGCCACAAAAATGAGCTCTTAAATATATGAGAGAGCATGGGAATGTAATGTAGAACAATTACACAGTCTACTGTCCAAGAGCTTTTTTTAAAAAAACCCCTGAAACTCGACCAGACATCATTTTATTAATAGATGAATGTGACATTTTCCCAGTTCCCACAGAGGTTGCATTATAAATATTAGGTTATTTCCAATGATAAAAGATACCATGATACCGATTCTAAAGGTCCATCAGTCTAAGATGAAGTAATTTAACACTAGCTAAGGGTATTGTGTAATTTGTTAATAATTTTTATGATTAGATCATATCTTCAAAAGTGACTAAAGTATGCTCTCACCTGATCATCAAGAACAAACAAGTTATAAATCAACCAAGCTGTGCCAGGAGGAAAGGTAATATTCCCTCTTACTGGGCTCAAGTCTTCTTCAGGGTTATCTGGAGCACCTTCTACCTACAGAGAAACCATTGCTTTTGTTCAGTAAACGTGAAGGAAGCTTTCAATAGCCAACAATATCCAGAAAGCAAAAACCTTCCTTTAATGCAGCCAGTCAAAGGTATTGATATTCAAGATGAAAATGAAATGCTTACTGTAAACAGTATCAATTCAGCTACCAATTATTTAATAAATAATAGGATTTTGTCCTAACAACACAGTCTGATGATCTAAAACATAAGTCTCATTATTGGCTTAAAAGTAGACCGTTTCATTTCAAAGATATTGGTTGAAGAAGGTGGGAATCTGAAACTTTCGGAACAATCCCAATAAGAATGGGGACGCATTCGTAGGGCAAATGCCTATGCTCCTACGCGGTAGTATTATACTAAACATCTCTATGCTGTAGTACTTCTGATTTCCATGAATATAGTTTCCTCTCTCTCCAGGATATTAAAAGCAGGAAGCCACCTATAAATCCAGCACAGATCCTACATTTGCAACTATTAGGCACCAGTGTGGGACTTAGAACGGGATTCCTCCAAGTCCAGGCCCAGCACTTTACAACCTGTGGCACAAAGCCAACTGCCGCAGCAGCCTATATAACAGCATCTCCTAGGATGTAGTTCCTTTCTTAGTCTGGGATCACCTGAATAGATCCCAGCTCATGAGTAGACATATTCATGGAGGATAGGTCCATCAAAGGCTACTAGCCATGGTGAGTAAAGGGAACCTTCATATTCAGAGGCAGCAAACTTCTGAATACCAATTCTAGGAGACAGAATCAGGAGAAGATCTTGGCTTTTATGGCATTTGTTAAATGCTGTGTGAAACTTCTGGACTACTACATGGACCAGTGTTCTGATACAACAGGACTCTTATGTTCTTATGGAATAGGCCACAGTCATAAGAATGAGATGAGTCACAAGAGACCCAGAAAAAATTATTTGGAGCCAGTGATTTCAGAACTGTTGTACAGCCCCAGACACTGGTAAGTAACAATTTTTCCTCCTCAAATAATATTTATTCAGAATTATTATCTTACATAATTCTACATTTAGTGTCACTTATTTATTTGATTATTTATATCCTTTTATACTATTCTAGCCCTCTATATGGTTTACAACAAATTGATCAATGCTGTATCCATAACATTAATTACACATTATATGTATTTCACATACTGTGAAAGTTTAAAGAAGTCCAGTAGCTTAGTGAAACAGAACAGTCTATACTCCCATCCTAAATACTAATAGTGAAACAGTCATGTCAGCTTCCCGGGGGGGGGGGGGAGAGAACAAACTGTGGCTAGATCTTTCCTCTCAAGTGAAGGACACAGTCAATAAACCAGTCACAGCTGGTAAAAAGCAAATCCTCACCACTGCCAGCATCTGAACATCATGCAGCTTGAGATCTAGAAGTATTTCCACACCATGAACATCTTCAGGAAGAATGCATCTCATCTAAAACTGGCAGAACACCTAATCCATAAACATTGACATCCCTGACCAACACTATCTCTACCTTGACTGGTTAAGCTATAGTTTATTTATTTATTTGGACTTATATCCCACCCTCCCTGCAAGCAGGCTCAGGGCAGGTTCCAACAATATAAATATAATATATAATACAATTAAAACCACTTAAAACAACAATATAAAATAGCATAAAATCCTAAAATACCATGTAAATTCTGATCAGACATCTTAGCGATTAAGATGGAATTAAAAATCCAGGCCACTGATGGGGGGCCAGCCAGAGAGAGGGGACATCCACCACCACAAACAAAAGCTCAGTGGAAGAGCCCAGTGGGAAACCCATTCAGGTTCTCTCTAACTCCAAGCACCGAATCAGAGTTTCAGCCACCCCTCAAGATTCAGATGGAAAGGGGAGGCAGAACTTATTACCATCTGTATAGTGATGGCATCTTACTACATATCTCTGAACAAACTCAACCAATTGCTTCATATAGCAGTCAAATGGCAAGGGATGCAAGATGTTATCTTGTTGTTGTTGTTGTTCAGTTGCACAGTCGAGTCCGACTCTTCGCGACCCCATGGACCAGATCACGCCAGGCCTTCCTGTCTTCCGCCATCCTCTGAAGTTTGCTCAATTTCATGTTCGTTGCATCTATGACACTGTCTAACAATCTCATCCTTTGCCGTCCCGGTCTTCTTTGACCTTCAATCTTATAGCACCCCGTGAATCACAGGTCAAAGGGTAGAACAGTAGTCCAACTACATAAACTTCTAGAACCTGTCCTCTATGAAGGACGAGAACCACAGCAAAGCAGTGCCACTTAAACCCATACTGGCAAGACAATCCAGAAGGATACCATGACTGATGTTATCAAAAGCTGCTGAGAGGTTCAAAAGAACCAGCTCAGATACAGTTCCCTGGACTGCTTCACAGCGCAAGTAATTCACTAGAGTAATCAGAGCAGCATCTCTTCTGAAACCAGGTACAAAACCAGACTGAAAAAAATCCAGGTAACTAGCATCTAATCATATGTTTACCAGAGGAAGTAGTTGAACAGACTTACCTCATAAATCACAGTCACAGTTCCATAAGTTCCCTTCTCCCTAATCAGAATAAGAGGTACAGATTCATTCCCATGCCTGGGCTCATTCAGTGTGATCAAGACAGGCTAAAAGGGAGAAAGAAGTAAAAAGTAGTATCAGGTACTTATGAGATGTCCTGTGCAGAAACTGTTACCATAGCAATAATAAACTCCCTAAGAGTTAATCACATCTGTGACTAGGCCTACTGATACCGTAGTATTCAATTTCCCAGTAACAATTTTTTTTGCTCATTAAAACACTGAAAGACATAAATATTAAAAACAATTATTGATTTTCCCTAACAATTATCACCACTATAAACAAGGTAAAAAAATTGTGTCACTAAATATTTATAGAGCTTCTTAAAACTATCAAACGAGATGTTTTCCTCATCAAATCATGACAAGAAAACTAACTACAAAATTAAAAATAAATTCATTTTAAATTTGTTTGATAAAGAGGAAGTGGGAACAACATAAATTACTTGAAATTACTTGAAATCATTAGTATTCTAGTTATATTCCAGAAATTACGCACACTTTCTTTTAAAATTTAATAATAATAATAACAACAACAACATACACATATACACATACAACAATCAATTGTTGTGAAACGCCCTAAGTAAAATACAATATAATACAATAATTTTTAACTTACTGTTTTACACTAATATATAAATACTGATTTCGCTGCCTGTATTGTTATTTATCTGGGCCAGAAAATTTAATAAGGCTAAAGACCCTGTAAGTTTGCCAAAAATCATTTTAGTAGTTCCTATTTTCTCAAGCGTAATCCTAAAGCCTCTGGAAACTGCATCATATAATCTAGAATCAGCTGTTGGTATTTTCCTGGACACCAAGACTAGCTAACATAATAGAGATTAACCTGACTGGGAAGGAAGGGGGCTGGTTATATAAGGCGAGGGGGTCAGCCGGTGGCTCTCCTGTCTGCTTTTTTGGAGCCAGACTTCTTGGTGTGGCAAAATCTAGTGCTCTCTGTAATACTGATACAGCTTTCTTTCTAAAAACACAAATTACTTTTCTTATATTATTTATATTATATATTTATATTGTCTAGTAATCCGTACAAGACTCTTATCTTCTCCATCTTCTAAATCTTGTATCCAAAGTCAGTGAAAACTTGATCAGCTGTTTCAATTCACTTGGGATCTTTTAAAAGACCCTCCAATGACCTGCCAAATATCACATCCTCTGGTTGCCTTTAATTCAACTGCTTTGATGCCACAATTCAAATGAACAAATTTAGAGTCCAGTGGCACCTTTAAGACCAACAAAGGTTTATTCAAGGTATGAGCTTTCATGTGCAAGGCACACTTTTTCAAATACACTGGAATAGTAGATGAGGTTCAAACTTATAGACAGGGACTTAACAGCAAATTAACATGTAACATGATGATGTTTAAGGTATGCAAAGTCAGAACTAAACAACAAGCTAAGGTTATAAGGTCAACAGTTGTAAAGCAATAAATATGTCAAAATAGCAGATAAATGCCTAAACGTGTCTTTTTTAATTGTGGAAAGCAAAACAAGAATCCGCATTCTCTCTTCCCAGGCGTGGAGATCACTTAACAGCACTTTCTGAGGTGGATGCAGTATCATGTCAGCAAACCATCCCAATATTCATTGCATTACATTCAGTATTCTAATATACTATTCTGAAAAAAAAATACACTAAAATACAGGGGATTTATAGACTAACAGGGCTAACTACCTGGAGTCCAGGAAGATTTGTTGAGCCACAACAGGATACTTTGGGGCAATAGGAAAACCTTTCACTCTACATCCCAAGGTCCACACAGGCAGCTTTTTTTAATTATACAGCAGCAGCATGGGCTTTCCTAACGTACCTTTGCTGCTGTTGAGCAGTCTCAAGGCCTATTGCTGGAAAGGGACAGACTTTTCTAATAGTAGGTAGGATGTGGGGTGGGGGGATGAAAGTGGCATACCTAAAGTCATTCATGCTATTTATGTCTCAGTTTAACTGGGGTCTTCCCTCTTGTTCTTTCAATCACAATGCTATGGTTGCTCTATTTCCCATTCACTGCTAAATTACTCCTCAGAGATATCTCCCTGTTATTCCATTACAAAGAATAAAGGTATGGAAAACAAAATTCATACCATATTGAAAGAAATAATTCCAAAAGCATTGTCATTTGATAAAATCGTTACTGTTACAGTTCTGGACGAACCAAGCTTTACTCCTGGAAATGGCTTCTGAAATAGACCAAGCACACAGTATGTAAAATTGGAAGGGTACATTGTAAATGAAATGGTCTATACAAGCAGAAAAAATGCATTCATGTTTTCAGTAAGGTCTTGTGTTCAATAAGGCGACTATTTTCAGAGTAAATGAATCTCCCTTAATGACACATTCCAGTGAAATGGCATTCTGAGTCAACTCATTGCTCCAAAGCACTCTTACTTTTTTCATGCAGCACAAATTCTATAGACTTAGTCTGGTTAAACAACAAAGTGTTTGACTCAAACCCTGGAGATCATTAATCATAGCTTGACAATATTATTGATACCATAGCAATAAGAAGCAAGATAAGAAGCATGCATTCTACCCCACTCCTAACAAGAAACTGAAGATCGTTTCACACTATATTCAATACTGAAAATTCTGAGATGAACTTTTATAAGTCCTATAACGATCGTTATATGATCACAATGACGAAACAGAACATTGTCAGTCTAAAAACAAGATAACTGGTGTATAACCACGGCAAGAATAAAAGGAAAATGGGGAGGAACTGAAGAATTACTGAAAATTACTTCCAAGTTTGCAACATAGTAATACGTTATCCATATATTCAGTAACTTGTGTATACCACGGAACAGTGAAGGGGTCCCCCATCAGGCAGACGTGCCAGTGCGCCTGTGGGGCAACGGAGGAAGGACAGGACCTGCTGTTTTAACCTGTATGTTTTGGGAGGTGGTTTTTGAAACAGGAAGTGTCACAGAAGCATGTATGTGGCTTACTGCTTAGCAACTCTTGACATGGGTGTGGGCTACTGAACCAGCAAGAACTGATAACCAACAGCAACAGTATACTTGCACAGCGCTGACTGTGACTCCCGGTCTTCACTACCACCTCCTGGTGACTTAAGGGTATTAATGCTCCATCACCTCACAAGAGAAGTTAGAAATTCCATGTGACAAACTGCTTTGTTGGTCACTGCTGGTATATAGTTAAGAGGCAGCCAAATAAAAGAGGACAAGGCAGGTGAGAAACGGGGAGAACAAAGACAGTAGATTGACCAAAGACCATTCTAATGATACGGTTTCTGCATCATAGTCAAAGGGGGAGGGCTTAATGAATGACATATTTTGTATTCATCCCATTATCATGATGGAACTCCTATTTCTTCCTGGTGTCCCAAAGCATAAGCCATTTTCCAGAAGCAATATAAGATGCTCTAATATTTTAATTGACAGCCAAGTAGTAGCTTATTAGTTGAAACTGTCCGACTGCTTTTCTAAAAACACCTCAATAGAGTGATTTTTTTTTAAAAGCAATGAAATAAGCGGAAGGAAAAGTTTCACCGATGGGGCCAGAACTCCAGAAGCGTTGTCCCCAAGCACCAAGAATACTGAGCATCACTGCCCCAGACATAGCATTCCATCTCTTGTGGCTAATAGCCACTGATGGACCTCTGTTCCATATGTTTATCCAATCCCCTCTTGAAACTGTCTATGCTTGTAGCTGCCACCACTTCATGCAGCAGTGAATTCCATGTATTAACTACTTGTTGGGCAAAAAAAAGTACTTCCTTCTATGTGTTCTAAGCCTACTACTCTCCAATTTCATTGAGTGCCCACAAATTCTTGTATTGTGAGAAAGGGAGAAAAGTACTTCTTTCTCTGCCTTCTCTATCCCATGTATAATTTTGTAAAACTCTATCATGTCACCCCTCAATCATTGTTTCTTCAAGCTAAAGATCCATAATCTCTTTAACCTTTCTTCATAGGGAAGGTGTTCCATCCCCTTAATCATTTTAGTACCTTTTTCTGCTCCTTTACCAGTGCTACAGTATCTTTTTTGAGGTGTGGTGACCAGAACTGTACACAATATTCCAAATGAGGCTGCACTATAAATTTATACAGGGGCTGATTTGTTTTTAATCCCCTTCCTAATAATCCCCAGCATAGCATTTGCCTTTTTTATTGCAGTCGCACACTGAGTCATCTTCAGTGAGTTATCTACCACAACTCCAAGATCTCTCTTCTGGTCAGTTACCACCAGTTCGGACCCCATCAGTGGATATAGTCAAGATTTTTGGCTCCAATGTGCATTACTTTGCACCTGCCCATGTTGAACCTCATTTGCCACGACGCCCACTTGCCCAGTCTTGACAGAGCCCTCTAGGGCGCTTCACAGTCCTCCCTGGTTCTCAGTGCCCTAAACAACTTTGTGTCATCCACAAACTTTGCCACTTCACTGCTTACTCCCAACTCCAAATAATTAATGAACAAGTTAAAAGGCACTGGACCTAGTACCGAGCCCTGCGATACCTCACTGCTTATGATCTTCCACTCTGAAAACTGCCCATTTATACCCATTCTCTGTTTCCTTTTAATTAACCAGTTTTTAACCCACAAGAGGACTTGTCCTTTTATCCCTTGACTGCTGAGTTTACTTACGAGTCTTTGGTGAGGAATTTTATCAAAAGCTTTCTGGAAATCAAGGTAAACAACACCTACAGGGTCACCCTTGTCTACATGTTTGTTCACCCTCTCAGAGAACTCTAAAAATTTAGTGAATATATTTACCTCCTTCTTTTCATTTTAAGACTAGCATGCTAGCTTGAAGAAAACCAAAGGATCAAAAGCTTTAAGCAAAATTATAATACTGAAATACTTGTTTAGGTACCAAAATATGAAAAAGACCATATGTCCAAAGATCAGGCATATATTTCAATATAATTTGATCTGCATGAGCATACGAAGCTGACTTTAACCATTTGTCCATCTGACAGTACTAGGTACTCTGACTGTCAGCGGCTTTCCAGACTTTCAGGCAGAGAAGTAGTATTTCCCAACAACTGTAAACTAAGATCCCTTCTCTAGAAATTCCAGGAACTGAATCAAAGGCTTTCAGTAAGCAAAACATTTGCCAGCGAGCCACAATCCTCCCTTCTGTGAAAAACTGGTACCTACCTGTAAGGTCAAGTAAAATGTGAAAGTCTCATCAGCCTCTGGAAGATCATCATCACACACAGAGATATATACAGTCCGATTCATTTCTGTTTCAGTTATGTATGCTGCTGCATATGTATCAAAAAAGTCTCCTGTATTTTCACCATGAATCTAAAAGACACACATTTATTCATTAAGCCTGAATCATTATGTAAAACTTCAAATAACATTTCCATTAATATGTATGTCCAATACTATTATCTAAAAAAATAATCTTTTATCATTAAAATATCATTATATCATGAAGACTTTTTGCTGGTCTTCCTATGGAAAACTACTTTTGGCTTCAGTTTGCCAAGAACAAATGAACATTTATGCTCCTTCTCCCCAAAAATACCTTCTTTATTTAATCCGTTTTGGTTTAAAAGGGCTTTACATATGAAGCTACCTTATACTGAATTAGACCAGCAGTCCATTAAGGTCAATGCTGCCTACTCAGACTGGCAGTGGCTCTCCAGGGTCTCCAGCAGAGGTCTTTCACATCACCTCCTACCTGATCCTTTTAACTCGAAGTGCTGAGGATTGAACCTGAGACCTTCTGCATGCCAAGCAGATGCTCTGCTACTGAGCCAGAGCACCTCGCCTTCATTCCAACATCCGTGCAGAAAAGCAGCCTTTCTTACCGATACAATCGCTGTGATGTTCACTGGTTCTCCTGTTCTTTCTATAACAAGTCGTATAACTGTTGTGCTTGTCTCATTAACCACAAATTCAGTTTGTCCAATAAACTGTACTTCTGTTTCTCCAGAGGTAAAACTGATGGATAATGCTAAAAAAAGTGTAACTAATGAATAGACAGAGGGCATCCCTAGAAAGAGAAAGAAAACATAAAATACGAATATGAACAAAAATACTAGATACGATGCCTATATCTGTATGAACTATAATAGTATCTTATACTTCCTGAGTATCTTATACTTTTCCAGGTAGAAATAGCTATATGTTCTGCAATACCTGCATATATGATTTTACATCACATGTATTTATACAGTGCCATGTCCTGGCAACATTGGTTCTAGAGACTCTACTTAAGCCATCCATATAGGCCAGGTATTTCTTAGCATCCCCAGGCCTGTCACTAAAATATGAGATTTCTCAACTGATCTGTTATATTGAGATGTGCTGAATATGCCATTTGGGGTGCAGTTCTCCTAAAAACAGAACAATAAAAGGGAACTTCACAAAACCCATCAGTGAAAAACACTATACATTCACAACAATAAATGTTTTCATGAGAGAATCTTGCATATGATCCACCACAATGGGCCAGTCACAAGCCACTAGGAAACACACTGAAATAGAAGAAACCCCATTTTTAAACAAATGTTTAGCTGTCATCAGTATCTTAAGACATGGCTAGAAAAATGGGGCTGGAACTTTATAAACTGCCTGTAGGAACTTTATAAACTGCCTGTAGGAAGATCCAGGATCAGCAACGGACTTGCACATGTGTCTGAGACAGGGAGGCAAGAAATAGTGCACATCTTTGTATAGCAGGAGACATTAGAAACTACTATGGACATCTCTATTATTTGGTCAGCCCAAGCCACACAACACTATGCAGTCTCAGACAATACAGATCTACTAAAGGTTAAATACTCATGGAGATCTCTCATAAGTGACCACATTTCTCTCAGAAGTGCCTTCTTTCTTAGTGAAACAAAGTCTTTGGACCCTAACCAAGCATACAGGACTCTTAAAAAGTGAAATAAAAACTCAGAATACACACTGACACATTCACTGAAATTAAAGGTTCTCAAGCATGTAACATTATTATATAAATGCATTTTAAGGCTAACTTGCCAAGTGTTTTCTACTGGTGTTTATGATGGTTGCCTCCCTAGAACATAAATGTTATCTTGAGTGTTCAATGGCAACTTGAATGTGAACCATGCAACCTTTGTAAACTCTGAGGCAATTACTCTGTCTGCAAAGTCAAGCATAATCTATAATGAACTAAGGGTGTCGTTGACCTTTTAGCTTCAGCTGTTACCTCGTCATAGACTAAGCAAATCTCTTCCCACGGTGTGTGCCTCAAGTAAATAATCCTGAAAATATGATCCTTACAGAGCCAGGTTAAGGCGTTTAGAATTACTCGAATTCTATTACCTCTGTTAAGGGGCATTCTAAACCGATAAAGTTACTCTTGTGGAACTAGAGAAGTCTCATAATAATATCATCAATTATTCAACTACCCAGAATTCTTCCTCATTACATTTATTTCTACAATGATTTGTTTTTGTTTTGCAAAATATGCACACACAAAAAAACCCTAAACCAACTTTTAAAATAATTGCCTAATTAATTCATGTCAATTACTGACAGTATTTTAAAATTAAAATATGGTCAAACAGAAAAATGCCTCATAAGTGTCACATGATATCACAACACAAAATAGTTTAGCATGTAAATTATTTCCCTTACCCTACAGGCCCAATTATGGTGGTGGGGTTTTTGGGGAGGGTTGGGTTTGGTTTTTTTGTAATGAAAATACTAATTCTCTCTCCTTTTGGAATGCACTGTTTGCCTTCAAGTGATCTGAGAACAGATATTAAGATATAAATTATGTTGCTACAACAGTTCTCATGGAGGATATAAAATGATGCTTCTAATTTTGCAGTTGAGTCCCTTGGTGGGACTTTCTTCAAGACTAGGATATAAACCATATTTCTTAGGCTATTTTATGTCTCCTTTGACAGAAAATAGGCATACCATCTCATTATGATTGGATTTTTTTCCAGCACATTCAAGAGCTAAGCCATATTACCAAAAATAGGTTCTGAGGGTTAACCAGATTAGACCTTGATTTAGACATAATAGCAGATTACACAGATTCCCAGTTTGATTTTAACAGAATATTCTGTACTGTCTCTATTCTCAGAAACAATTAAATGTCAGTATTTATTTCTGTGGTCATTTTGAAAGACTATTTTTCCTTTCCCTAATGTGGTCACTGAAGCTGCTTTTAGGAGGGAGAGAAGAACAATGGAGGGAGGCAGAAACAGGGCTTTTTAACCCTTTCTCCCCCTGCCATTTTCTTCACAGATAATGCAACCTGGGCTGCTTTCACCCCAAATGGGAAAAATTTAAGGGTACCTTTACTCCCCCGCCCCTCAAAGGGGTAAAAGGGATCGTGGGCGTTTTCACTGAAAAAGAGCAGGAGAAAAAAAAGGGTTTAAAAATTCACTCCCACTATTCTCTCCTCCAAAAAGCACCTGCATTGGGGGGGGGGGAGGTCTTTTAAAATGATCATGGAATCCAAGAGCACTTTTCTAAACAGCAGAAATGTCATTTAAGGTAGATTTTAGCTAGATTCATAATATTCAGAGTTCTGGGTTGTACTTAGTAATAACACAGTGGGTTGGATCCTGCCAGCTTTTTCACTTGCTCTTGCCCAATTCCCTTCCTCATTGTAGCTCCCATGCTGTGTAACTTATTTCATTTATATCCCACATTTCTCCCCTGGTGGCTTCCATCGGATTCTCCCGTCCTTCATTTTATCCTTAGAGCAACCCTATGAGGTAGAATTGGCTTCAACGGCAGAGGGAGATTACAGTCTGGGTGTTCCAGATCTGAGTCTGAAACCCAAACCACTACACCACACAAGTCTCAGGACCACTGACATAGCCTTTTTGGTGGTCAAAACTGACCATCTACATTTTTTAATCATAAGAAAAGCTGGCAGAATCCAATCCTATTAGTCTACCACCACATATACCAGAGTAATAAATGGCTAAAGCTATGGCCTGGATCCTACCACTTCTCTCAGAAATGTCTGAAGTTTTCTTCCAGACAAAGAACCTTCCCTCCAGCAGAAGTGAATCTTCTTCCAGCATCAGAGGAAGGCTTCAAACTTTATTTAAAGGACTAGTAGAATATAACTCTGTGTCTGCCCCTGTAGATCAGAGCAACCACAATGTTCATTTGGCACTATTCCAATCTGTGTAATGAACACTGTGCAAGCACCACATCTGTCTATTTATGTACATAAACCCAGTTCCAAACATTCGGTCACTTTCTTGTGTGACAAACAAACAGAACCAAGGAAAGGGAATAAGCAGGGTCAAATTTGATTCTACATGGCTAGACATTAAAGGCAAGGAACAGTTTGTTTCTGAACCCAACAGTGCCCCTGACCACATATCTTTCTTTTCTCTTGTCTAAATGAATGGCTGCCATTCCTTTATATGGGGAAAAGTAAATGACTGGACTTTTGAGACAAACTGGTAGCAAAATTTCCCTACCATTGACAGAATCACCACATTGCCTTTCTGAAGGAATGAAAAACTACATTTCCATAGTTTCTTCCTCCACTTGAAACAAACAAACAAAGCTAGAGATATGTTTAGGATGGGGAGGACAAAAGGAGACAATCCCCTCCCTCATCTCCTAAGTGCTGCCTCAGCAGGAGATATTGCTTACTGTTTCAGGGTCTGAACACCACTATCAGTTTTAAAGACAGAATCATTAAGATTAAAGACAGAGATTTCATGGAGAAAAAAAATCAGCATGACTTCTGAAAAGCGAAACTCAGAGTTCTTTAAGAATATGTGGATAAGTGATCCATCCATTAGACTGAAAATAGATAGCCAGTGTGGTAATATATAAATCCTTGGTGAAATCACTTTGAGAATACTGTGTACTGCTCTAGTCGCTCCATCTTACAAAGGATATCCTATACCCAGAACCAAGGTGATCAAGGTTAGAGCACCGTCCCTATTAGGTATGGATACAATGCTGGGGGCCTCTTAACAGAAAATAAATTACTAGGAAGGGCGATATGATAGACAATATTATATACAGCATAGAGAAAGCGAAGATAGAACTTCCTCTCCCACAAAAAGAGCTTGAGGGACCAATTTAATTGATGGGGAGCAGATTCAGGTAAGACTTAAGAAAATACTTCACACAATGCTAAATTATCTTATGGATCACTGCTACAATGGCACTGGCTTACATGGCTTTTAAAAGGGAACTAGACAAGCATGGTGTAGGGGTTAAAGTGTTGGACTAGGATCTGAGAAATCCGAGTTTGAATCCCCACTTGTGTCATGGAAGCTTGCCTGGTGACCTTAGGCCAGTCACACTCTCAGCCTAAATTACCTCATAGGGTTGTTGTGAGGATAAAACAGAGGAGAGGAGAATTATGAAAGCCACTTTGGGTCCCCAGGCGGGATATAAATAAATAATTAAACAAACCGACATGCGTGATAGGTTCATCACCAATTATTAACCACGATGGCTAAATGAAAACTCTGAGCGCAGAAACCGTATGCCTTCAAACCTCACATGTTAGGGGCAGCAACACATGAAGACCATTGGCTTCCTATTGGGCTTGTTGACTTCCTGGCAGCATCTGCCTGGCCACTGTGGGAAACAAGATGCTGGACTAGATGAATTTTTGTTCTTGTTCACTTGCAGGGCTCTGCTTATGGTCTCATTAGGAGGTAGGAAGAATTTTTTTGGAAAGGAGACCTGGCTCTGGCCCCAGTTTACCTGGCTTCACTGATGAACTGGATGATGAAAGAAAGGTAGAAGGTAAAATCTCCAAATTTCAGTTCTCACCACATCCACTAAGTTGTTGCCCCAGAAGTGAGTGAGCAGAGCAAGAGATAGTGGTAAGCCAGTTTCTCCAGCAGGGGAAACAGGTGTGGCAAATGCAGTCAGAAAGATCTCCTCACCCATCAAACTTGACAGGATTTAGGTAATAGCAGTAGATCCCATGTCATTACAGTTTCAGCTTTACAGAAGCTGCCAGGAGCACTGCTGTGTGCAAGATTTTATCACGCTTCACTGTTCCTGCATA